TTGGCCCCTTCATGACTGGTGGACTTCAACTCCCAGAATTCCTGAGCCAGCATGAGGGAAATTTTGGCCCCTTCATGACTGGTGGACTTCAACACCCAGAATTCCTGAGCCAGCATGAGGGAAATTTTGGCCCCTTCATGACTGGTGGACTTCAACTCCCAGAATTCCTGAGCCAGCATGAGGGAAATTTTGGCCCCTTCATGACTGGTGGACTTCAACTCCCAGAATTCCTGAGCCAGCATGAGGGAAATTTTGGCCCCTTCATGACTGGTGGACTTCAACTCCCAGAATTCCTGAGCCAGCATACTGTAGCTGGCTCAGGAATTCTGGGAGTTGAAGTCCATGAGTCATAAAAGAGCCAAGGTTGCCTACCCCTGAGCTAGCCATTGGCAATGCAGGTAGGAAATGAATGTAGGTACTTTGACAAGGGAAAGTTCTCCAAAGGCCAGGAGGATCCCTCTGTCCATTTTACGGATTCCTGATTTTGATTTTTGTCCTTCTAGGGATCTCAGTGTTGATGCCGGTCTGGGTCACAACCAGTTCCAGGTCAGGCCAGTCCCTCAACATTATCAGCACTATTTGGCGTCACAAAGAATGCACCATTTCCCCCAGAATACATCCTCCACACAGATGGTAAGTCAAGGGGACGTCAGCAGAGATGGTTTGAGGTCAGAAATAATGCAAGCTGCACTGGAAAAGTCATAAATCCATGGCTTGCAAGGGGAAAGATCCAGATTGCGTTCCAAGGAAATGGTTCCACTGTTGTGAGAAATATAATGCTGGTCCCGGATTATAATGTTGGTCTAATTCATAGCCTGATTCATTTTCAACTCCAAATTTGACTCCAAATAGAATAGGATAGAGCTGGAAGGGACCTTGGAGGTCTTCTAGTCCAACCCCCTGTCTCAGACAGATGGCTGTCCAGTCTCTTCTTAAAAACCTCCAGGGATGGAGTGCCCACGATTTCTGGTGGCAAGCTGTTCCACTGGTTGATTGTCCTCCCTGTCAGGAAGTTTCTCCTTAATTCCTCCCTCCCTCTTTCCTTCCTTCCCTCCCTCTCTCCCTCCCTCTCTCCCTCCCATCCCCATCCCACCTCCTTCCTTCCTTCCTTTCTTCCTTCCTCCCTCCCCCTCTTCCATCCTTCCTTTTTCCTTCTTCCTTCTCCTTCCTTCCTTCCTTCCTCTCTCCGTCCCATTCCCATCACACTTCCTTCTCCTTCCTTCCTTCTTTCCTTCCTTCCTTCCTCCCTCCCTCTCTCCCCCTCTTCCATCTTTCTTCCTTTTTCCTTCTCCTTCCTTCCTTCCTTCCTTCCTCCCTCCCTCCCTCTCTCCCTCCCCCCTCTTCCATCCTTCTTCCTTTTTCCTTTTTCCTTCTTCCTTCTCCTTCCTTCCTTCCTTCCTTCCTTCTTTCCTGCCTCCCTCCCTCCCTCCCTTTCCCCTCTTTCATCCTTCTCCTTCCTTCATTCTTCTCTCCCTCTCTCCCTCTCTCCCCCATCTTCCTTCCTTCCTTCCTTCCTTCCTTCCTTCCTTCCTTCCTTCCTTCCTTCCTTCCTTCCTTCCTTCCTTCCTTCCTTCCTTCCTTCCTTCCTTCCTTCCCTGAAGCCATCATCAACCAGTAGTAACTTGAGGGATATTTCTGTGTAGTTTTTCTCAATAAAATCTGGAAGTGGTTTGCTGTTCACGAGGGGAGGGGCCATTCTTTTCAACTTCCTGATCTAGCTTCGACCTGTCACATTTCCCAAGGGACCTAGACTTTGGGGAAAAAAACAAAGAAGTAAAGTTTTTTATTATAAAGTTTCACCACAGTGAAACCTGAGCTTTTCCGGCCTCAGAATGAAGGAGAGAAGGAGAAGCAACGGCATTCTTCAGTGGCTATTTGACGAGTCTGACCCCTCCCTGTTGCGTCTCTTCATCGCTTCGCAGGTTGTCCACGAGATCAGAAATTACCCCCAGTTTCAGCTGCTTGCTCTTCAGGGACTGAATCCAAACCGGCACCCATCGGCCGTGCGAGAAAGTCATGAGGTGAGTGGCCAAGAGCATTTCTGCATCTGTTTGGTGACTGCCCCTCATTGACAGGTTTTAGGGTTTGAGGGCACAGGTGTTCAGCTTTGCCCACTTTAAGACTCATGGACTTCAACTCCCAGAGTTCCCCAGCCAACATGGCTGATTGGGGAATTCTGGGAGTTGAAGTCCACAGGTCTTAAAGTGGCCAAGTTCGGGACCCTTGCCTTTAGTGTGTTATTCCTGAAAAAGAAGGAGGAGGAGGAGGAGGGGGGAGGGAGGGTTCGTTATTTCCCCCCTTATTTTTGTTTTGGATGGGAAAGAATCACACAAAGAGAAAAAAGAAAGCTGGAATAGAATAGAATAGAATAGAATAGAATAGAATAGAATAGAATAGAATAGAATAGAGAAAATGTGGAATGGAATGGAACGGACCGGAACAGAACAGAACAGAACAGAAAATATGGAATATAATAGAATAGAATAGAATTACAGAATAGAATAGAATGGAGTGGAATGGAGTGGAGTGAAGTGGAATGTAACGTAATGGAACAGAACAGAATAGAAAATATGGAATAGAATAGAACAAAACAGAACAGAAAATATGGAATAGAATAGAATAGAATAGAATTACAGAATAGAATGGAATGGAGTGGAGTGGAGTGGAGTGAAGTGGAATGTAACGTAATGGAACAGAACAGAACAGAATAGAAAATATAGAATAGAATAGAACAAAACAGAACAGAAAATATGGAATAGAATAGAATAGAATAGAATTACAGAATGGAATGAAATGGAAGGGAAGGGAAGGGAAGGGAAGGGAACGGAACGGAACAGAACAGAATAGAAAATATGGAATAGAATAGAACAGAACAGAACAGAAAATATGGAATAGAATAGAATAGAATAGAATTACAGAATAGAATGGAATGGAGTGGAGTGAAGTGGAACGGAACAGAACGGAACAGAACAGAATAGAATAGAATTACAGAATAGAATGGAATGGAGTGGAATGGAATGGAGTGGAGTGGAGTGAAGTGGAACGTAACGTAACGGAACAGAACAAAACAGAACAGAATAGAAAATATGGAATAGAATAGAACAAAACAGAACAGAAAATATGGAATAGAATACAATAGAATAGAATAGAATTACAGAATAGAATGGAATAGAATAGAGTGGAGTGGAGTGAAGTGGAACAGAACGGAACAGAACAGAATAGAATAGAATTACAGAATAGAATAGAATGGAATGGAGTGGAATGGAATGGAATGGAATGGATTGGAGTGGAGTGAAGTGGAACAGAACAGAACAGAACAGAACAGAACAGAACAAAATAGAATTACAGAATAGAATGGAATGGAGTGGAATGGAATGGAGTGGAGTGGAACAGAACAGAACAGAATAGAACAGAACAGAATAGAATAGAGCTGGGAGGGACCTTGGGGGTCTTCTAGCCCAGCCCCCTGCTCAAGCAGGAGAACCTGCCACCTCACTTCCCTTTGCTAAATATGGATTGGCAGGAGAAGTTGGAGACACAGTCTGACACAAGAACACCTGACTCTGTCCTTATCTTGGCACTGGGGAAGCCCGCCCACCATAGACCCAGATGACTAATAATAACAGGGAAGACCCCTAAACTTCCTTTGCAAATATTTGCTGTAGACTGATTGCCCTATGCTAGCAGAAGTCCAGATCCAGACCAGATCCAGGAGAAGACTGGGGCATGCAGAAGAACTCTTCAGAAACTCAATGGAAGGTCCCAGAAATTTGGGAAGAGGTCTAAGAAGGGTGTCTGGAGGCTCCCTTTGCTATGAGCTGGTGCCTGGCTGAGCATGTCGTGCGGTCCGGTCTGTGACATGTCAGTGACATGTTGGGGCAAGCCGAAGACATGGATGAACTCTTTGATTGCAGAGGTTCACCATTCAACCTCCTAGTAGGACCTCTTTCTCCAAGGAAGAGGGGCGCCCAACCGTGGCGACTTTAAGTCCTGTGGACCTCAACTCCCAACTTCAAGACCTGTGGACTTCAACTCCCAGAATTCCCAAGTCAGCACGGCTGGCTGGAGAATTCCGGGACTTCAAGTCCACAAGTCTTAAAGTTGCCAAGGTTGGACACCCCTCCTCTGGATCCACCATCTCCCTGAAGGGTTGGACTACAACTCCCAGAATTCCAAGCTGTTGGTTTGCTTGGTGGATCTCTTTTTTTTTTTTTAAATTTTTAATTTTTTGTAAAATATACATCTTCCAATATACACAATACATTAACTTTAGCTTTCCCCCCATACCCTCCTCGGCTTCCCGGAGCTGAATACAGGATCAAGTTCATATTTCCATAATTCTTCTACAATCATTAATCCAATTAAAACAATTATAATGCTAACAATCTACACACCCCTTTAACTCCAAATAAAGTATTACAACTATACAAATTTATAATCTACCTAATCCTTAAACAAACTAAAAAGAAAAAGAATAAATTCACATAATCAAAAACACTATTGTATCTATATATGTAATTTAAACAATAATCCTTTTCTAATTAACATGGTGGATCTCTGAAGACCCAGGTTGGAGAAGGGGACCAAGATAATGTAACTTTGGGAAGAGCCAGGAAGTCTGTACGAAATAATTGCATTTCTGATGAAGAGCATATTTTTTCTCCTTAATGGGCTTTTTATTAAAAAAAAAAAAAAAGGAAACTTATTTTTGGGAGGGTCAGATGGAAAAGCTACAGAAACAGCTGGCTAAAACCAGGTCTATTGTAGACAGAAGCTCTCTGAAACTCTTTCGTCTCTGCCTTTTCTGATCTAGGAGTTGTTACAACTAGAAGACCGGCTGGGAAGTGTGAGTAGGGGAGCTGTGCAAAACACCATTGAACGGTTCACTTTCCCACACAAATACAAGAAGGTAAGCATTGAGTTAGATCAGCAGTTCCCAACCTTTTCTCTACCCCTCGCCCCTAGAACGCTTCTGATATATTCTCGCACCCCTTAACAAAAGTTCGAAATAACGGCAATGAATTATGCATAGACACTACAATTTTGAAAACCCAAGTTTTCGCACCCCCTGGAATATCGTCTCGCGCCCCCGGTTGGGAACCCCTAGATTAGAGGCTGGTGTGTCTTCCCAAGCAGGTGTTCAAGGAAAAATCTTCATCAGGGTCCAGTCCAAGCCGGGAATAAACAACATGGTGACTGCTTTAAAAAAAAGGTTGCAGTTTATTGAAGAAGAGAGACAGACAGAAAGATGGCTCTGGAAAAAAAGGGATCACATGGAGCTGGGAGTGGGTTTTTATACCTTCTTGGGCTTTTGTTTGGAGATAATAATAATAATAATAATAGTAATAATAATAATAATAATAATAATAATAATAATAATAATAATAATAATAATAATAATAATAATAATAATAATAATAATAATAATAATAATAATATTGGAAGGGACCTTAGAGGTCATCGAGTCCAACCCCCTGCTCAGGCAGGACACCCTATACCATTTCAGACTGATGGCCGTCCAGTTTCTTCTTAAAAACTTCCAGTGTTGGAGCATTCACTGCTTCTGGAGGCAGGTTGTTCCATTGGTTAATTGTTTTTCTGTGTCGTATAATATACAGTATGTGGGTATGTGCATAATTCTGTATTTATTTATTTTTGTCATATTTATGCAGTGTATATTGGAGGTGGTGACCAGTGGTGGGATTCAAATATGAGAACAACCGGTTCTCTGTATGGATGCCGCTTCCAGAAGTCCATTCTGGGCCTGGGCAACAAAATATTAGCTACCGGTTCTGCCGAAGTGGTGCGAACCGGCTGAATCCCACCACTGTTGGTGACCCTTTGAGAGCTGTATGCAACGAAATTTCATTTTAATGTATGCCGATTAGGGTACATTCAAATAAACAATAAAGTTATTATTCTATTCTATTCTATTCTATTCTATTCTATTCTATTCTATTCTATTCTATTCTATTCCATTCCATTCCATTCCATTCCATTCTTCAAAACCAAATCTTCCTTCTTTCGTCTCATTCTTCTTCCTTCCATCCTTCCTTCCTTCCTTCCATCCTTCCTTCCTTCCTTCCTTCCTTCCTTCCTTCCTTCCTTCCTTCCTTCCTCTCATTCTTCTTCCTTCCTTCCCTCCTTCCTCACTCATTCTTCTTCTTTCCTTCCTTCCTCACACTCATTCTTCTTCCTTCCTTTCTTCCTTCCTCTCATTCTTCTTCCTTCCTTCCTTCCCTCCTTCCTCACTCATTCTTCTTCTTTCCTTCCTTCCTCACTCTCATTCTTCTTCCTTCCTTCCTTCCTTCCTTCCTTCCTTCCTTCCTTCCTTCCTTCCTTCCTCACACTCATTCTTCTTCCCTTCCTTCCTTCCTTCCTTCCTTCCTTCCTTCCTTCTCCATCCATCCATCCATCCATCCATCCATCCAGCCAGCCAGCCAGCCAGCCAGCCAGCCAGCCAGCTGTCCTTCCTTCTCTCCATCCGTCTGCCCGTCCGTCAATCCATTCTACCCTGGGTTCCCCTGAATGCTGAAGGAGAGAGAAAAACAGTGCTTGCTTTGATTTCTCTGTTTGTTCCTTGTGACAAAATCGGCGAAACTGGGCTGTTTAGAAAGTCAGAGAAAGCTAACAGCTTGCACAAACCAGAGGGGAATAATAATAATAAAAATAAACCCTCTTAAGATTAATGTCTCTTAAAAATGCAGCCTTCCGGAGACTCAGCGGATGCCCTTACGAGGGAACCGATGAAAGTGTGCACGGAGGATGGTTCTCACCGGGGGCGGGGGGGCAGGGGGGGAGACAAGGTGTATCCATTAACCATCATTCCCCAAAGGAATGGGTCGAATTGTGAATTAGAGCTGGTTCTTATCCCTCTCTGTAATTCCCAATGGAAATTCTTCCCCAGCTTTCCAATATTTCTGGACCACAGCTATGAGCTTCTCCATTCTTACTGGCATTTGAGTAGCATCTGTTGTGACGCTGTGCTTTTTTTTGTGTGTTTGTGTGTGTGTGACTTTGCCGACAGCGATGGCCGCAGGAGGACAGAACAGAAAAGGAAGGAGAAGAGTCAGACACGGAAGAGAAATGCACCATCTGTCTTTCAGTGCTTGAAGATGGCGAGGATGTGAGGTATCGCGACTCTGACGGGAATTCTTGGACATCAAATGTCTTAGTTTGCTGCTCTCCGGTTGACTGTCAGTCCTTAAATCTCGGTTTACAGGGTGATAGTTGCTTTTGGTCGCCTTTCATTCAGATGTTCGCTCTAGTGGTGGGATTCAAATGTGTGAACAACCGGTTCTCTGTGTGGATGCCGCTTCCGGAAATCCGTTCTAGGCCTGGGCAACAAAAAATTAGCTATCGGTTCTTCCGAAGTGGTGCGAACTGGCTGAATCCCACTCCTGTATGTATGTATGTATGTATGTATGTATGTATGTATGTATGTATGTATGTATGTATCTATCTTTCTATCTATCTATCTATCTATCTATCTATCTATCTATCTATCTATCTATCTATCTATCTATCTATCTATTATTCATCTGTCTGTCTATCTATCTATCTATCTATCTATCTATCTATCTAATCTATCTAGCTATTATTCATCTATCTATCTATATGTATATCTGTCTGTCTGTCTGTCTGTCTATCTATCTAGCTATAATCTATCTATCTATCTATCTATATGTATATCTGTCTGTCTATCTATCTATCTAATCTATCTAGCTATTATTCATCTATCTATCTATATGTATATCTGTCTGTCTGTCTGTCTGTCTGTCTGTCTGTCTATCTATCTAGTTATAATCTATCTATCTATCTATCTATCTATCTATCTATCTATCTATCTATCTATCTATCTAATCTATCTAGCTATTATTCATCTATCTATCTATATGTATATCTGTCTGTCTGTCTGTCTGTCTGGCTATCTATCTATCTATCTATCTATCTATCTATCTATCTATCTATCTATCTATCTATCTATCTATCTATCTATCTATTCAGTGGTGGGATTCAAATGTGTGAACAATCGGTTCTCTACATGGATGCCGCTTCTGGAAGTCCGTTCTGGGCCTGGCCAACAAAAAATTAGCTACCGGTTCTGCCGAACTGGTGTGAACTGGCTGAATCCCACCACTATCCTAGGCAGCAACAGATGTTTTTCTCTCTCAGGACCCAAAGAGAAAAAAAAAATCTGCTGTGAACTTTGGGTAGGTGTAAGGAAGGGCATCCGGCTAGTAAACCCTCAGCTCTATCCCAAATAAAAGGATTACGGGGTCATCCAAAGGAAAAAAATATCCTTGTATACCTCTTTTTTAACTAAACAATTCACTTAATATTGAAGTATTTAATATTAATATTTAACACATTTTGTCCTTTTGAAGTATAGCATTAAAAACAACATCAACAACAATAATAACACAGTGTTAAACTAATAACAAACATTCTATTCTATTCTGTGTTGGTCTATTCTGTTCAAATATTCAAAAATTACAACATTGTTTTAGCTTGACAGCATTGACACAATCAAATAAGCAACACATTTCTAAACCAAAGCTTACCAATTGTTTAAACATTTAGATCGGGGGTCTTCAAACTTGGCCCTTTTATGACTGGTGGACTTCAACTCCCAGAATTCCTCAGCCAGGCACCAGTCATAAAAGGGCCAAGGTGGAAGACCCCTGGTCTGGATCTAAGCCTGCAGTTTCATCAAAATGGCCGACTGAGGAATTCTGGGAGTTGAAGTCCACCAGTCATAAAAGGGCCAAGGTGGAAGACTCCTGGTCTGGATCTAAGCCCGCAGTTTCATCAAAATGGCCAACTGAGGAATTCTGGGAGTTGAAGTCCACCAGTCATAAAAGGGATAAGTTTGAAGACTCCTGATTTAGATGTGTAAGGGGAACTGAGTTGTTTCAGCAGAATTGCCCGTCTTAAATGCTTTGTGATTCCATACTTACTTAGTGTTTATGCATTGTATTTAACAGTTTTATTATGAGTAGATAGCTTGAGATAATACCATTTTTCCCCATAGTAGAATGACAGAATAACAGAGTTGGAAGAGACCTTGGAGGTCTCATAGTCCACCCCTATATCATTTCAGATAAGTGTCTGTCCAGTCTTTTCTTAAAAACCTCCAGTGATGAAGCACCCACAACATCTGGAGGCAAGCAGTTCCACTGGTTAATTGTTCTGTCAGGAAATTTCTCCTTAGTTCTAGGTTGCTTCTCTCCTTGATTAGTTTCTTTTTTTTCTTTTTTAAATATGTTTTATTGCAGGGGATTTCAAAATTGGCCCTTTTATGACTGGTGGACTTCAACTCCCAGAATTCCTCAGATGGCCATTTTGATGAAACTGCGGTCTTGGATCCAGAGCAGGGGTCTTCAAACTTGGCCCTTTTATGACTGGTGGACTTCAACTCCCAGAATTCCTCAGTCGGCCATTTTGATGAAAGTGCGAGCTTGGATCCAGACCAGGGGTCTTCCAACTTGGCCCTTTTATGACTGGTGGACTTCAACTCCCAGAATTCCTCAGCCAGCGTGCCTGGCTGAGGAATTCTGGGAGTTGAAGTCCACCAGTCATAAAAAGGCCAAGTTTGAAGACCCCTGTCTTATTGATTTTTAACATACACCTTAATATTTGGTAAACATCATGTTGTCTGGGTGAGTGTTTAAAAAAACAATCAATAACAATTAATTTCTATAATTCTATAGTCCATATAATAGCTTTACTTGATTTCCTCTTCTTCCAATAATATTCTCTTTTGCCAACCTTAAATAAATACAGTTCTTATTTATATAAATGACAATTAAATATAAACATTTTTTTCTCATGTTTCTGCAAATAATAACCCCATCGATATAAAGCTTTTTTTTATGAGTTTCCATCTGTTGCTTCTTCTCCTGCCTTCAGGTGTTTTGGAGATTAAATTAAATTAAAATTAAATTAAATCAAACTTTTTTAAAAAACCATCTCATCTGAATGTTTTCATTCAGGTACATTTTCCCGAGATAGATTGACATAGGTAAAACAAGCCAGCATCTTCTTGAACAGCCTATTATTTTGGGATATCTGCTCGTCTAAAAAAATCAAATACAGAAGTTTGGCGTATTTAACACACTTTATTTTATGATTTTTTCCGGCTCTTGGACCCCCGTTTGACACCAGAAATCAGGGTCAAAGTTAAGGCAAATAATATACATTGCTCTCTGTCAAATTAGTTTTCAAGCTTTTACACAAATTCTTTTTTGTTTCGCCGCTAAATAATTTTTTTAAAAAGAAATGTATGTATCCTTAAGGGAGGGAAGAAAATACAGCTGGATTAAAAACTGCCATCTTTAACAATCCACTCATTCATCCTACTTGGTTTTTCTGCTTTTTTTTTAAAAAAAAAAAAAATCAAAACCTCAAGAGATGCTTTACTATGAGATACTTTTCAACAGTACTAATAGCTTGTGAAGAGCAGCAACTCTTAACGCTGCAGCTTTATATAAACTTAAGTGATGCCTGGGTTGTGTGCAAAAAGATTGCACCTAGCTAAGATCCCAGTTACTTGGATACTGTCCTTGGCACTCGGGTGTTGTTGCATTTACAGACTGAAGAAGAAACAGATTTCTGGGCCAGCTGATTTCTGGTTCCATTTTTAAATTCATTTTTTAAAAAAAATAAAATTAAATTAAAAATTGTGGATTTTTAATCATTTGTTAGAGTCAGACAGAAGCCAACACTGTCTACTACAGAAATCGTGGGCGCTTCATCACTGGAGATTTTTAAGAAGAGGCTAGACAGTCACTTGTCTGAGATGGTAGAGGTTGTCCTGCTCAAGCAGGGGGCTGGACTAGAAGACCTCCAAGGTCCCTTCCAGCTTCTATTCTATTCTATTCTATTCTATTCTATTCCATCCTGAAATTCCATTCCATTCTATTCTATTCTATTCCATATTTTCTATTCTATTCTATTCTATTCCATTCTATTCCATTCCATTCCATATTTTCTATTCTATTCTATTCTATTCCATATTTTCTATTCTATTCCATTCCATTCCATTCCATTCCATTCTATTCTATTCTATTCTATTCTATTCTATTCCATATTTTCTATTCTATTCTATTCTATTCTATTCTATTCTATTCTATTCTATTCTATTCCATATTTTCTATTCTATTCTATTCTATTCTATTCTATTCTATTCTATTCTATTCTATTCTATTCTATTCTATTCCATTCCATTCCATTCCATTCCATTCTATTCTATTCTATTCTATTCTATTCTATTCTATTCTATAGACTGGGCTGCTGGCAGCCTGTAAGAAATTGGGGCATCACTTTGCTAAGTAGGTATGCTATTTATGCTATGCTTTGTAGTTAATAATAAAGCTTAAAATCCTTTTATTTGCTGGTGTATTTATTGGCTCTTGATCCAAAAGAATCAGCTGCATGGGCACCTGATCATTGCCTTGATACTTGGGAAAACAACAGTATGTCAGTCTTTTACACAGTAGATCTTATTTTTTGGGGGGGGGGTGTCTTTGGTGCTCTCTGAGCTTGGTTGTTTTCTTTTCATCACCCAACATTTCATCACACAACTAGGTCACATCAGAAGGCAGGCAGGCAGGAAGGAAGGAAGGAAGGGAGGGAGGAAGGAAGGGAGAGAGGAAGGAAGGAAGAAAGGAAGGAAGGAAGGAAGGAAGGAAGGAAGGAGAGGGAAGGAAGGGAGAGAGGAAGGAAGGAAGGAAGGAAGGAAGGAAGGAAGGAAGGAAGGAGAGGGAAGGAAGGGAGAGAGGAAGGAAGGGAGGGAGGAGAGGGAAGGAAGGGAGAGAGGAAGGAAGGAAGGAAGGAAGGAGAGGGAAGGAAGGGAGAGAGGAAGGAAGGAAGAAAGGAAGGAAGGAAGGAAGGAAGGAGAGGGAAGGAAGGGAGAGAGGAAGGAAGGGAGAGAGGAAGGAAGGGAGGGAGGGAGGAGAGGGAAGGAAGGGAGAGAGGAAGGAAGGAAGGAGAGGAAAGGAAGGAAGGAAGGAGAGGGAGGGAGGGAGGAAGGAAGGAAGGAGAGGGAAGGAAGGGAGGGAGATGGGTGGGAGGGAGTAAGGAAAAAAGGAAGGAAACATGGGAGGGAGGGAGGAAGGAGAAGGAAAGGAAAGGAAGAGAAAAGAAAGGAAAGGGAAGGAAGAGAGAAGGGAAGGGAAAGGGGAGGGAAGGGAAAGGAAAGGAAGTAAATGAATGAAGAAGGGAAGGGAAGGAAAGGAAAGGGGATAAATGGATGAAGAAGGGGAGGGGAGGAGAAGGGAGAGGGGAGACGAAGGGAGGGTAGCAAAGACTGCTGATGTTACCTAGTTTGGATAACGAAACATCTGCAAGAAAACAGCCCCCTTCAGAGAGCACCAAAGACCCCCCCCTCCTCATTTCAACCCTGGGCCACCAACCTTCTCCTTTACAGGTCTTATTTTAATTTCCTGCCCTGCAGCTGATAAAGGCCAATTCTGGCATTCCCCACCTGAGTACTGAGGACTTCTGTTCTTCTGTCTTCCAGGCGTTTGCCGTGCATGCATCTCTTTCACCAAGTGTGCGTCGACCAGTGGCTGGCCACCAGCAAGAAATGCCCCATCTGCCGCGTGGACATTGAAACACAACTCGGATCGGACAGCTGAGATGAACCGCCGTGGGGCTGGGGGGTGGGGTGGGCTGGTGGTGTGCCCCCTCCCCCGCTCTCTTTTCGTGGTCCTTACGGGGGAGGGGCCGCCGGGCCCTTTTGCAGCAAAAACGTTTTGCCTTCTGAGCCATTTGAGTTTTTTTTTTTTGTTGTTCTTTTTTTTTGAAGAAAGCCTGCAAGCACATTCGCAGATTATTTAATTAAATGAAAAAGAAAAGAAAAGAAAAGAAAAGAGGAGGACAAGAAGAGGAAGAAGAAGGCAACGGCGGCGACAAGGATGATTTGATGGTTAAAATGTCTAGGTGTAGGAAAGGATGCGAGAATCCTTCTGCGTGGGCCGACACGCGACGGAAACACGGCTTTGAAGGCCCGGCGGGAAAGAGATAGTTGTGAAAAAATGGAGGTACTTAGTATCCTAATGTTGGCCTTCCAAATCCTACTTCTGAAAAGGGCTGTATATATATATATAGATATATATATGGATATATATATATATACCTCTTGAATAAGTAGAAATGCATTAGGGGTTCCTTAGCTGTTTCTTACGGAGGCTGGCAGAGCATGTGCGCTTCAGGAATGTTGTCTTTTGATGCCCCGTTATCTCGTGATGGAAATGTCGTTGTTATATAACCTGCACCAAAACACTGCATTGGGGGTTTTTTGGGGGGAGGGGGGGTTGTTTAAGTTTTGTTTTGTTTTACTTTCTTTTTGGACGTGGTCCTTGAGTTTGGGGTTTGGCTGGAACGCGGTGAGCAGAAAACATATTTCACAACGGAAGGCAAATCTACGTGTCCCAGGATAATGTCACAGGATCCCATCGAGTCCCCCCCCCAGCTTTAGGATTCGTGCTGGCAACTTCTCTCTACGTGGAATAGGTGCTCTGGGCTACTCTATGAGTTGTATTTATGTTGTTGTTAGTTGCGAAGTCGTGTCCGACCAATCGTGACCCCATGGACAACGTTCCTCCAGGCCTTCCTGTCCTCTACCATCTTCCGGAGTCCATCCAAGCTCACACCTCCTGCTTCAGTGACTCCATCCAGCCACCTCCTTCTCTGTCGTCCCCTTCTTCTATTGCCCTCCATCTTTCCCAGCATTAGGCTCTTCTCCAGTGAGTCCTTCCTTCTCATTAGGTGGCCAAAGGACTTGAGTTTCAACTTCAAGATCTGGCCTTCTAAAGAGCAAACGGGGTTGATCTCCTCCAGGACTGACCGGTTGGATCACCTTGCAGGACTCGTATTTATGTCGTGCCCTCCTATTGGTTGATCGGGGTGTTGATTGCCGGCGATTGGCTGTTGTTTCTGTGCGCTGCCAAGCCCTCGGCTCATAAGTATCTGAAAAGCTGGCACTGATTTCAGCACTCCTATTGACTGACAAGAGGCCCACTTCCCAGGCTTCCCAGTCCATCAACACACGAATCAACCAATAGGAAGGCGCCACATAACTATGACTCATAGAATAGCCCAAAGCACCTATCCCAGCAAAGAGGAGTTCTCTGAGGATGGGCTCCAGCACAGAAGACTAAACTTTTGTTTCCTGGTGACCGACCCAGATTAGATCTTGGAAAATATCTTGGCCCTTTGATGACTGGTGGACTTCAACTCCCAGAATTCCTCATTCGGCCATTTTGGTGAAACTGCGGGCTTGGATCCAGACCAGGGATCTTCCAACTTGGCCCTTTGATGACTGGTGGACTTTCAGAATTCCTCAGTCGGCCATTTTGATGGAACTGCGGGCTTGGACCCAGATCAGGGATGTGCCTGGCTGAGGAATTCTGGGAGCTGAAGTCCACCAGTCATAAAAGGGCCAAGTTTGAAGACCCCTGCTCTAAAGAAAGAGGGTCTATATTCTCTCTTTCCATTGGCGAGAAAACATTGTATTGTTTTCATTCATTCAGGACCTTCCCTGAGCAGCATTTACTCATGTGGGATCAAGTTTTGTGAGGAGAGGGAGAGTTGAGGAAAAGGGCGAAATAGAGAACGGGAAAGAAATTGGGGAAGAGATGGGGAGAATAAGAACGGGGCTTTTTCTTCGTGTAGATATGCTGGTGCTAGATACTTTATTGAGAGCACAACTTTAGGACAACACTTGCTTCCACTTTGATTTCAGTGGCGGTCCTTGGAAAGGACGACGCAAGTGATCATTTTGATCAATCTCTTTCTTAAATATTCTTCTTCCTCATAAAGCCTGTTGTCCTGGCCCTGTCCATAGGTCACCACCGAAGACGTCCATGAGATATGGGGCTGGCGCATCACTCTAAGCCAGGGGTATCCAACCTTGGCAACCAATAGAGTTCAACTTCCACAATTCCCCAGCCGGCCATGTTGGCGGAGGAATTCTGGGAGTTGAAGTCCTCACATCTTAAAATGGCCAAGGTTGGGCAGCCCTGCCCTAAGCCAGCTTTCCTCAACCAAGCACTGGAAATTGGGGGATCTTCAATCCCAATATAATGACTTCGGGTGACGCCTCTCTAAGCCACAATGGGGGGTGGGTGGGTTTGTGTAGCGTTTCTATGAACCTAGCCTCTGTGGTTTGTTAACTAAGGTTTATGGCTTAGCATGAGATGTGAACCTGGCCGATTGTAGCTTGTTCAGTGGACTTGTGGTGAAGCAAATCGTGGCTTAGCATGTGGTATGAACACAGATATCATCAATTCGATCATGTAGCCATTGGCCATCTCTTAATAACCAGATAGCAGCCAAAAGGGCTTTTTTGTGTATATTCATGACAAGGAGGACATGTGTAGACTTTTAACCTGGTTACTGATAGTTTCTTCTACTGAACGGAAACTGGTTGGAAGATAAGTCTGACTGTGTGCCATCAATTGTAGATTACTCTTAGTGACCATATAGGTAGACTCTTCCAGGATGATCTGTCCCTGAGGTGGCTTTTTAGAACTTCTAACAGTGAACCCACTGCCATTTATAATTAAGTCTTTCTGATAGACCATGGACAATAAATAAGCACAATCCCAGTTTTCCACCACCTCAAGGAGTTGGACCTAAAGACCACGTTTGTCCGGCTTTTTACTCCTATCTTAAACTCCTTGACTTGCTCCAAGTGAAGCCGGGAAGAGTTTGTCGAATCTTCTGATCTTCCAGGGACATTCTCTTTTTCTTGAGATCCTTCTTCCTCTTCTCTTCCAAGTATCTGTATTGGAAATCTGGTGATTTTTGTTTTTTTTTTAAAGGAGAGTTTGGAAAAAGCATTCCGAGGATGAGTGACTAAAAATCAACAGGGACTCCCACTGTGTTGATTTCTGAGCTGTAATGTAGAAATGCGCGGGGGAAAGCCAAAAGATAGCTCATCCGGAAATCGTTTGCCACAAAAAGTTTGGACAATCTGAGCATTTTGGAAAGAAAGGAGGTGTCGGAGCATTAAGGAATGGTTGAATTCTGCTCAAGAGAAATGTCTCAATGGATAGTTATTATTAATAACTTTAGTATGGTTTTTGAATCCTAATAACGGCAGAGTGGACATTATCTGGATGAATTGCAATTGAAGTAGAGCATCTTGGTTCACACCCAGGAGTTTGATAGCTAAGATTGTGGGTGCGTAGCCTAGTAAACAAAGCTAGAACACAACCAATCAACAATTGAGGGGTTCAGCTGGTATTTAGTCCTCCTTGTGTCTTGCCAAATAGACCAATCACATTGAACTTCATTTACCGTGTAAACCCCATCCCCCAGAGCGTCCTGCTTACTGTCCGATGCACACAAGCCATGTTAAAGTCATAATTAGGCTAGATTGATCCCAGCGTCATGTGTTGGGTAAACTTGGCAATTTTATTTTGTAAACCATGGTTTGTGATTTAGCAGTTTGCACAAACCTACCCAATTGTAGCTGACGTGATCAACCAGTGTAAAACCACCAAGTTGCTGTGTTTTGTCAACCAGGTCAGTCTGTAAGACCAGGCCAGGCCACACACAAACCATGAGCTTTACCCCTGACTAAAATAGTTTTTGCATGAGTATCAAGAATTCTTTTTAAGGAGATTCTGGGCAATTCCTTGGGAATCAAATGAGGGATTCAGATATATTTGTAAATTAAGCTTCTGTAGACACTTCCTGCCTCTATCAAGCGTTGTCCTCTAGATCAGGTCTCCAACTTGGCTGTAGCAAACTGCAGTTCAATTCATATAGTTTTATGTGAAAATTAACGTACAGTGATACCTCGGTACTCATCGTTAATTGGTTCCGGGAGGCGCATTTAGTACTGAAAACGATGAGTACCAAACAAATTTTTCCCATAAGGCATAAAGTACTGAGTAACGCACAAGTTCTAGCTTGAGCGTTGAGTACCAAACAAACAATGAGTACCGGGATAAAATTGTCACGTCAGAATGGGTTGAATACCAAGTTTGATGAGTTTCAAAGCAGTTGTGTAGTGAGGCAGCATTGTACGTAGATAGCTTCTACCCTGGTCCAGTTTTATCATCAAAGTGAGGTCTTTAACTTGGCTAAAACAGCTTTAGGTATTAATTTACATCGTGGATTCCAAGTGGAAGAATCTGACACTGACGCTCAGGACAAGCTACTACAATAGAGGTCCCACTACTGGGTCTCGACCTATTCAAAACCGGGCTGTGTGAAGAGTGGGCCGGCCCTCCACTTGCGTAACTTGAACTTGCATGCATGCACCAGCCCAATTCTTGCACGGCCCAGTTCTCCTCTCCCCCCTCCCCCCTACAGCTGGGCCACCAAGCCGCAAAGGTTGGGGACGGCTGCACTACAATGTCAGGTGCATCGTGACATCGCAGTGCAAAGACAGATCCAAATTTCATAGGTTGCATCATTTGCACTAAGATATCGTGGTGTGCTGGACACCGCTTGCTTCCCAATCGACCAACGCCAACGAAACCAGGCTTTCTCCAAAAGTGAGAAGAAGCATCGCAACATCAACACTCTGCAACGCTTCCTGTCTATACAGTTTATTCTATTAGTTGCCAGGCTGAATCATTTCAAAAAGGAGATGGGGGGGGGGGTCGAAGGTCTTCCCAAA